GGAAGTGGACGACCCCGCACCAGCGAAGTCAAGCACAACATCAAATCGAACTCCGGGGAAGCTGTCAAAGGTCGTTCCCGAAGAATAAGCCCCCGCAAGTGCCGCCGCTGGAAACTTGCGGCGGTCTAGGTCGACGCAGAAAACACGAGCTCCCAAGCCAGCCGTAATCTGAACCGCCGAGAGGCCCAAACCGCCTAAGCCTATGATGGCAACCTCGCATCCTGCGGAAATCTGGCCCTCAGCAACGACTGCATGGTATGCCGTCGCTACAGCATCGGTAGCCACCGCTGCTTGGGCAAACGATACGCCATCCGGGATCGGCAAGGTTCGGTCTTCAGAGAGCACCACGTACTCGGCGAGCCCACCGTCCCGACCTATTCCGGGGCTGTCGACTACATCTCCAAGTTCAACAGGATGTTTTGGTGTGATGACTGAAACGACAGCGTCACCAACTTTGAACTTTGTGATGTCGGCTCCGCAAGAAACGACAACTCCAGCGATCTCGTGTCCGAGGATGATGGGGCGTTTCCAGAAAAACGTGGTATCGATGCCGGAAACGATATTGCAATCAGTATGGCAGATGCCGCATGCCTTCACTTTGACCAAGACTTGGTTGTTCTGTGGAGTCGGCATAGGAACGTCACAACGCTCGAGACCCTTTGAAGGGGTTGAGAAATGGTAAGCCTTCATGATTTTAGGGGTTTTGTAAAGGGGTAATTCTTAGGCAAAGGCTATCGTGGCCCAGTCAATGTATTCGATTTCAGGGTGACTGATGAAGGAAGGATGACGAAGTAAGACTAAGAATTGAGGACAATTTACTTGCAGTTAAATAGAAAAATAGGAATCACTCGAGGCAACGACACCACCTGCCTTTCGGAACTCACTTCTGTTGGGAATTCCATCGACTAAGCCCGGGTCAGAGGAAGCTTGCCAATCCAAAGCATTTGATCGCCACCGGGTAAATCATCGTCCCGCCTCTGATTCTCGAGACAAACCTAAACTTTCATCAAGGTTGAGATATTTGAATTAAATGAGGTAGAGATTGCGCACCTAATGTTTATTTTCATTCGTGGTGGTTGCCAAATGATTACTGATTACACCTCTGCCGCACGGATTGCCGAGGTGCGGCCACCCCTGAAGCCAAAAGCATCATAATCAGGCTTGTCATCATGGCTTGAGAGATCAGACCCCGAATCATCGACGATGTTCAGTCTGACATCTGGTAGCACATAGGACGGCTTCGGTCGAATTGAGCTGGAGCTGGAGTGGGCTGAAGTCATGCCGTCGGGACAACTGAAAGGCCTAGACGTTGTTTCTGGGTCAAGATTAAGTTGCGCCTCCCATCGTGATTGTGTATATAATAAGGTCGGAATTCCCTTGAACAAAGAATTATTCTCCTAATCTGCATCCCGAGTTGGCAGGCCAGAAACTTTTGCACCCCCACCAACAATCAACCTATCGAGTCAAAACTCCAATTTTCTTTTTTCATCATCCGCAATGTCCACTCTTCAGATCGCCGAGACACAGTTTGTTATCGTCAACGGAACAAGAGTTGCTTTCAGACGCTTCGGAAAGTAGTCCCAGGTTCCATTATTGTACATCAACCACCTTCGCGGGTCGATGGACACACTTGACCCCCTACTGTTCAACGCCATTGCGAAGAACCGAGAGGTCATCGTCTACGACAGCTTCGGTATCGGCCATAGTGATGGACAAGTTCCCGAGTCTACATCTGCCATGGCTGCGATTGCGGCCGGCTTCGTGGTTGCCATAGGCGTCGAGAAGGCCGACGTAATTGGGTTTTCGATGGGAGGCGGCGTAGCCCAGATCCTGGCCTGGGACTATCCTCACCTGATACGAAAGTTGATTCTAGCCGGCACCCAATCCGCCATTGGCGAGGGCGTAGTACTGCCTCCCAAAGAGGTACTGGAAAGCGCAGGAGCAAACAATGACGAACCCCCTACGTTGGAGGACATGCTGCGCCTCTTCTTCTTCCCATCGGATTCCAGCTTGGCGATCGGTCGTCAATGGTGGAACCGTATTCACGAGCGCCAAGTAACAGGAGAAGAGCGAAAAGGGTTTCTTATTGGCCCTGGCGCTCGATCCCAGCTGACGGCAATCTTCTCGTTCAGTCTCAACTCGAGCAACTTCGACCGTCTCAAGGACATCAAGGCGCCTACTCTAGTCACCAATGGCCACAATGACATTATGTCGCCTACGCCAAACAGTTTTACTCTCCAGCAGAACCTTCCGAACGCGCAGCTCATTATCTACCCCGATGCTGGTCATGGTCACTTGTTCCAGGTTCCAGAGCTGTACGCGAAGCACTTGGACTTATTCCTTGGGCATTGATAATCCTCAAGATTCGTCAGCTCGAACGGGTGTTTTTGTAACATGTATTCGTCTCCCAGTGTAGTCATTGAAATTGAATTATACTCCAACAATGATCGGTTTTTGTCTTCCCGCCGTTGTAAAATCTGGGAACTCTCGAGTGACTGTCGATCCGGCCGCTTTTCCGTCTGCCCAGCTTTCGGTCAGCGACGTTGGAAGCCTCTTCACTGCAAATCGCATAAAGCTGAGTGAAGCACCATCATCTTACGCGCAAATATCTGGAAATCATGCCCCTCTGTAGATTTGAGGATCTTTCAAATCCACAAAATCATCGGCATCAAACGTGGCCCTTCGCGCAGGGATCTGCCGCAGTATGTCTGAAAACGGTTCCTTCCAGACTTCGGGTGCATGTAAAGTGGCGACGGACGAACGTTGACGCGCCTTCTTTCAATGTCTGTGACCTCCATGCGCGCTTTATCAAAGGGCTGTTCCCAGAATTGGTTCGCTGGCCAGTCGGTATTCTGCCATTGCCGCCCAGCTAACATCTCTAGAATGGTCATTACTGGAGGCGTAGTATGCACAGTCATTGCTGGCTTGGATAGTGTAACGAATACCCAAGCATATTGCAATGATGCTTGTCGCATAGTGGTCTTGTCCGGGGGCGCCACTTTCTTGATATTGACCTGTTCATTTTGATGGTCTCCTGGGGTAAATTCGCCCCGGCAGGCTCGTGTTGTAGTCGTTGCCCAAGTTGTTTCTGTATTTTCGGCTCGGTTTCCATGAACCCCATAACTTTCGGCCGCATTCATTATGCCTGTCCTGGAAGGAATGATCACGGACATGTCATAATATCGTGGAAAAGGTCTGAATGATAGCAGTGTGTGGGAGGCATGTGGCTCTGCGTCCCTTTGTGAGTGACAACCTGCGCTTGTTGTTGGATACACTAGAGTGATCGAGGGGCCTGCGGTCGGCTTTTTATTATTTTGGGATCTTTTATCTGTATTAGCTCATGATCGAAGAGTCAGATGTCGTTGCGTGGAAGGCAGAGCACGACGAAGAGAGGTTAATGGCCGGGTGCGGATGATGGGAGAGCGAGGCGTCTTCTGAGATCCTCACTCGACGAGGAGGCGGTAGTCCTCGCCTGTGGGTATCATGAGCATTGAAAAGGAACTGCAAAAGTGAATATGTATCCGACGTTGACGCGTGTCTACTCACCGTCGCGAAGAAAGTGCTGGCGATGATTGACTTCAGGCGGTGTTGCCGGGCGGAAATGACAAGACAGCGGAGGGCACATCACATAATTTGGAGAACATGAATTCAAAATGCGAGAACAAAGCATGTAAAACTTCGATGACGGACCATGCCAGTGAAAGGTAAATGAAAACAGGCAGCAAGGCTTTGTACTTAGAAGAGAAAGGGACGAAACGTTTTCGTTTTAATTGATGAGATCATGCCGTTCTCGATTTTCTTCCAGCTAAGAAAGGTGCAAGTACGTAAAGCTGTCTGGTAGGAAAGACCCTTCAACATAACATCTCTATCAGGTCGACCCTATCCATCTCCAGTCCCCAAGCTAGGAAGGCGCGGTTGAATACCATCTCAAACTTTCCCGGCAGTCCCGTCTCTGCATCCAACCACGACCCTGGAGGTGTTATCAGGCTCGTTCAGTACATGTTGCCTCCAATCTGCTCCTGCTGGGCCTCAATGACATCATCCTCCTCAAGGTCAAGGCTGCGGGGGGTGTCGTCGTCCACCAGTCGAGTGCCGTCGAAGATGAATCTAACGGACTTGGAGTCCTTTCCTTGTCGCTCACAGAAGGCTGCCATTACTTTCTGCATGCGAGTATCCCGCTTGATTTTAAAGACGATGGTGTGGCCAGTGGTGTCGACAATCTTTATGTTGATGGCCGCGTTGTTGGGAGTCTCGGCAGCACCCTGAGGAGCCGCATCCTCGGGGACAGGGGCCTGGGGAACGGGAGCCTGGGGGGGAACGTCTGCAGGACAGGAGTAGAATTAGCAAATGTTCCTGATGGAGAGCAACCAAGGTAGGTCTATGTCGTGGGATGCTTGGAGGAAAGAGGGTACAAGAAGTGGACGAGGCCGACAGACCGTTGGCGCCAGACGGGCCGGGAAGAGGCGTCTGCTCGTTGCCATCACGGGCGCTCTCCTGCTTGGGTTCCATCTCCGTAGTTGTTGGAGGTTGTGGATAGTACAGGACGTCGGAACTCGGATCGATGGTGTTGTAGTTGGCAGACCTCGTTGTTGTCGGCTGAGATGTGGAGGTGAAGATGAGTTTGTTGTGGGTTGACTCGGTTTTAGGTGGGTGATCGAGAAGTTGATGGGTTCTGTGGCAGCTCGGGGACAAACGTGAAAAAAAGGGAAGGCACGAGATTTGCGCAGCCTAGGGCGTGCCTGCTGTTTCCGGACCAACTTCTCATTGGTGAGAGGCTGCTGGTGCCTTCCAGTTTGCTGCACTTTTCGTGAGTCGCCTGGCAGCCCAGATAAGACCATGGGATTTTCAATTCAAGATCCTAACATAGCAGAGCACGCTACTCAACTGCCAATTTATCGCCCATGTAAAACTGCTAGTGGTCACGCACACTGCAAAGTGTGAGGTTATTCACATTTGATTTATTCTCTCAGAGGTCAAGGGAAGGTACAAAAATAAAAATGTGATCGATGCAGGGATCGAACCTGCGATCCTCTGCGGAATACGTCTGTAAAGCAGATGCCTTAAACCACTGGGCCAATCGACCGTATGAGATGATCAAAATCGCATTGGGTGCCCACTTGTGGATCAGACATGCACGCTACGGCGAGAAAGGCCAGACCAGAGGACTTGGGGAGAGCAGAGTGATATTGGAGGTCTCGCCGAGATGTAGTGCTTAAACATGTCAAATGAAGGCGTAAAGAAAAGCAGTTTGATATATATAGTGGGCATTTGTAGCATTTAAACACCTAGCAAATGCAAATTGGAACGAAGAGTTAGCATGAAAGACAAATTCGATTGCTGCAGCCAACAATTCTTGCAACATGCCGTATCGCTCAGAGTCTGAATCTGAAGGGCAATAAATTTAAGGTTCGAAGTCCTTCTTGGTCGGTCCTTCTTGCTCTTCATGGTGCCAGTGGTAGACTGAAATGTACATGGTTTTGTTGACCATTCAACCAACACTCCAGGCACAATCTTTTGCACCCAGACAACAATGAAAAGACATCAAAGTCGCCAGCCTAGCCATTTCGGTTCTGTTTGCGCCCAAACTTGCCTTCATTATCGCCACTTCTCTGACATTCTGTCTTGTTGCCACAATACCCAGTCAGCTTCCAGCCCCGGAACAAAGGTGTTGGTCACCGTCTAATGGGTTTCGAAATCTTCCACTGCACTCCACACGGAAAACGTCTTGGATATCCTGGATATCCTGTACACAGTTAAAATTGCAGCATCTCACTTCTCGACAACTGGCCAGCCGACTGTTTGCCGACCTCCGTTTATTGCAGCAATCCTCATCCATCAGTGAGTTGTTTTCCATCCTGCCAACATTCAGTTTTCGCTTAGAGACTGATTTCTTCTGGTGACCCAGACGCGGACTCGATGCCATTCAACGCTTCCGAAGACCAAGGTACCACCCTTTCACAACCATGACGAATGAGAATGCCTATATCAAATACAAACGAGACACTCGATTCCTAGTTTACTGGGTGATCAACACGTCCAATGGCATGATCGGAGGTCACTCTATCGCCGGCAATGATGGAAACCCGCTCCAGCCGACAACCACCGGCCACGTCACAATCTCAACGATGCTGGCAATGGCGCGTCGCATCGCGCACTTCGAGCAGTCTACTCCAAGTATCATCTTTCGGTCCCTGAAATCCATCATCCGAATCAGGACTTCATTCTACGAACAGTACCATTCTTTTCCGACGTCTCAGCTGGATCCTGACCTCGAGAGAAGCAACATGTGCCACAGGGTCTTCATCTATGCCCTTTCTATAGTTTCCAATATTCTGAGAGGCCCAAATTGGGAGCGCTGCCAAAGTCTCGAGGACGACGAGCCTCTCGGAGGAGTCGAAAACCTCGGGACCATGCTCGGCAATATGTTCACTGCTCTATCGTCTCATCCAAATGGTTCGGCATCAGGCCATGAGTCACAAGAGGCGTCGTCAATGCATGTCCCTGCCCAGAGGCAGGCTCAGAAGAAATACAAAAGGGTGAGAAAGCCAGCGAAGGGAAAGAAGGGAAAGAAACACGACGTCTCGAGAGCCCTCAAGACTGACCCTTGCAACCGCGTGTCCCTTACTGACTGCGATTATTGATTCCTTCAAAAGCTGCTCCATGGCTACACTCGCTTTGACTCAGGAGTGGTCTTCACTGAGAACGTACGTACAGGACATCTGGCTCGAGGTCGCTAAGGAGGGGTTCAATAGCGTCGTCGCAGCAGAGCAATCAAACATGGCGCTTTCCATGATCCAGCAAGACCAACTGGCTATTTTCGCCGAGTTCCCCAAGCGTGACGGGTACGCAAATTTGCTCCGCACTTTCCGGGCTGAACCGAAGGAGAACACCCGCTCTTGAGGACGCAACTGGTATGCAGTCTTTCTGGTGGCCACTCTCTATGGCCACGCCAAAGCATATTGGGGCATAGAGTCAGGCTGGATGGACATGGCCGAGCAGTCTATGGTTCGTGCATACTATGACTTGTTAGATTTCATCGCCGACTACCGCAAAAGTCGGAACGGGAAGCTCACCAAGGCGATGCAAATGGGGATCCGTGATCAGGAACCGAAATTGGATGTACAACAAGCCACAAAAGCCCAGAGATTAGCATGGCGTCGTCAATACACGATCAAGTGGCTGTATGATCTAGTAAACTTCTATGCGCTTCCAGCCTTTGAGATTCGAGTGTCCACAGACGGCCAGCTGGCTTTGGAAGATCTTGATTGGTATTCTGGCGGTGTTTATGGAAAGGAGAAAAGTCGTATTGGACTAAACTTTGCAAGCTTTCTCACTGGCCTCCTCATGAAGAAGTTGGGGACCCCGCATGAGAGCAAGGTTCTTCCACACCATGTGTTCTAGCTGCAATGCATTGTCGACTCCTTCACAGTCTCTTGTGGTTAGTCTATGCCCCATCTCAAAGGCCATGTGTTGGAGCCCCCGCGTTCTTCCACAATTGGACCGAGGAAATCAGGGAGTTTGTGTATGGGAACAAAGCTAGCCATCGTGGAGGATACATAATTACAAGGGGCAAGTGCGCTGAAGCAGCTTCTTTGGGAAAAGCATCAAGTTAGCCGGGGCTTCGACGATTACAACTTCACGAATGAAATGATCAAAAATCTAGAATCAGAGCTTTCCCAGTGGCTTACCCCAACAAGCTCACAGAAGTCTGCGGCCTCGCCGCGCAAGTTCCCACCGCTGGTTGCAGAGGCCTTTTGCAGCACTCACCTTGGCTTTGCGGTAACAGCTTGATCGAAGGTCTGGATATGGCGTTTTGTACAGTCATGATCATCTGGGAATCCATCCCGGAGCCCATGATGCTCACACTCTTCCATAATATATTGGTCTAAGAGGGACTGTTGGAAGGGATTGAGGTTCTTGGCAAGATGAAGTTTCACTTTCCTGAGTCAATCCGAGTAGACGGATGCCCAGTTTCAGACCGTTTCTCAAAGTGGGTGAAATCTATATCAACATGCCCAGGGAACCGCAGCGGTTCTCAAGCTCCGAATCAGCGGGGTCTCAATGGTCGCTCCACCGCCGATAATCCCAGCCCGCGACTTTGTTATTCAACCAAGTCGCAATTGATGGTCTACGGCGAAGCTGCATAGAACTTACAACGTGTTCCTGACTCTGTCCTCCGGCCACTACGGAATCTATGGCGGCTCCGATTCAGCCAAACGCCCGTGCACATGGACTCAGTCACAGGAAAGCAGAAGCTCCAAGACACACCAATTGTTTGCCGGCTTCGCGACCTCCAGTTTCCGGAGGGCTGCATCCCTGAACTTTTCAAACAGGCCAGCGAATCTGCAACGGAGATCGTTGCCAGTCGAGCCAAACCCTTGAGTCACTCACGGAACTTGAAAGGCGAAATCCTTCAGAACGTCAGGCTAGATGTACACGCCTATCCGCAGGCCAAAGCGACACACCTAGGAACTTTGAGTCTGGCAGATGTACCGAGGACGGATATGATCAGCTCAGTTCATGTCGTGTTGTCAGACATCGAGAAAGGGCTGGGCTCAATGAAGAATCCACTTTATGCCCACGTCTACGACAACCAAAGTGGTTTGTTCAAGTCTGAGCGTGTGGAACTAACTTGGGTGGTCTATTTAGAGGCCGCCGGGGTTGTTGGTGGGGGATTGCGGACTCTCTTCGGGGTCGAACCTGTCTGTTTCCAATCACAGCATCTGGGAGGAGCTGGATACCGACTCGAACAAGCTCAGCGAGGCGCATGAGTGTCCAACGAAGGACGACAGATGTTCCGTCACGTTGTACATCTTGATCTGGTAATCGCACACTTTAGAATGGGAATGAAATAATGACACTCTGCACGAGACAAATTGGAACCAAGAAGCGAGTGTTCAGGGTGCTAGGTTGACTATCGTGACAGGCTGTGGAAGCTGAAAGCCGGAGTTCGTACGATGGTTTACAATCGAAGGGAATGAGAATTTGAGGCTGTGCAGCACGCCCAGAAGACGATGGTCCCATTGCATTCAACTTAGTAGGGCTGAGATACGGATACAGGGCAATAATCCCAATGTAGAAAATCAGGTGTGAGGTCTGGTATGCTACGTGAAACGAAAGGAGCCAAAAAGAAACAAAAGGTTGGGGGGTTGGATACAAAAAGCATAAAAATAATGGACGAACTGGGGCTTGAACCCAGGACCCTCCGCAAGCAAGGTATATGTATCATGCGAAGCGGACATTCTACCACTGAACTATTCGCCCTTTGTTCTGGTTGATGAGTGCCGCGGAAGATGGAAGCCATCAATGGGACGGCCAGCACTGCGGCAGGACGAGGGCATGGAGTCTGACCTTCCAAATCGTGGTGTTATCACTAGCCAGTCCGCCAGAAGGGCAGGCGGGCGGCTTCCGTAAAAGCTGGAGCGGATGGACTGCCCCCCACCCCCCTTCCTGCCTGGTCCGCAGTCCTGACTTCGCTGACGACACCTCAGACGAACGAAGGAGCTTTTATTTGGAATGGAAGGTTCTGATGACGGTGCACGAAGTTGCTGCTGCAGCTGGGGCCACAAGTGTCGTTACCCAGGTAGATAACCCGGTATGTATGGAAGGAGCTGCTCAGCTTTGGGGCATCCTGTTGCTCTCGGCCTACCTCAGCATGTGAAGTCAACCACCAGCCTCACCTCCACTGACCTACCTTCACCTCAAGTCAACGTTCTCCCACCATTCGAACTTCACTCCCAAAACATCTCTCTCGACGCAACCCATCACAACAGGTCACCAAGTATCTCTCCATTCATCCTCACCGATCACATTTATTCGAAATCACAATGTCGTCGCAAGCCCCCAACCGCAACCTATGGGAGTGTTTCTCAGGCATGCCAACCGAGATGCAAATTGCAATCCTGCAACACCTACCAAAGAGGAAATTGATTCTCTTCGCCCAGCTTAACAGCAGATTTTCGATCTTGCTATCGAAGTCAGATGGAAAGAAGCCGAGCTGTCTGCACTCATACAGGTGCCGTCTCGCAACGGCAGAAGGCAAACGTATGCCAACCACGTTAGGACTCTCCGAGTTAGACAGAT